CGAAAGTTGGGTGACTTTGTCTGAGACAAAATTTCCTCACCCATAAAAATGTAGGAGATTATCTACTTTGCACAGTTGTAGATAGATTAAATCAAAAAATAAAATAAATGCCTGGCACAAAATTGTGGCTGCAAAGGGGGGCAGCCACAGGGCCTGAATGGATTACACAGAACCGAAAAAAGATCATGGGACTTGTACAGTTTTATTTCTTCTTTACTCTTACTTCTTTATCCACACACAAGTGCCAAAAGCACAGGCAACTCTGTTGTTATATTCATACTCATTGGAGCTATAGGTGAATGTTTACAGAACAGTGGGTAATAAAATGGCTAGAATATAGCAATTTAGCAAAATATAATGACCAAAATACCACTATAATTACATCTTGAGAGATAAAGGTGTCTCCTGAGAAACTAGGGGAGTACCTGACATTCCAGAGAAAACTCCTCAGCAGGCATTCCTGCATAAACTTTCTCAGGAGACAAGGTTCAAGGTTCAGCTAAACTTACCAAGCATATTTTTTAAAGCCATAGGAACACTACTTCACAGTCCTTTCACAAAATATTTTTTAAAAAATAATGATTATAACTATATTAACCATTAACACTTTGTAATTTCTAAGTCCAATTTTTAAAACAAAATTATGGAAACTCAAGAAAAATCATAAACTCTGAATGCACAAATACACATAAATGAAGGCAAGAGAGCAGGGTGTGGTGACAAACACTTGTAATCCCAGCACTAGGAAGTTGAAGAAAAAGGATCACCATGAATTCCAGGCCAGCTTGAGCTACACAGTAAAAACAGTTGGGTATGGTAGTCCATGCCTATAATCCCAGCACTCAGAAGGGACAGCCAGGAGGATCCTCCAAGTTTGAGACCAGTCTTGTTGTCTACAGCAAGTTCCAGGTCAACCAGGGCTGCACAGTGAGACCCTGTCTCAAATAAAACAAAATCTTAGAGTATCTGCAAAGAAATAATATGTATAACTCAATTAAGTATTACAAGGGTAAACCATGAATCAAAATATCAACAGGCCACAGAGTCCAGAGACACACTTCTAGTCCTAAGAACCCTACCAATTAGCTCCTAAGTGTGCCTTAGAATCAGGAGTACTTGAGTCATGGCTTCCACACTTATTAAGACAAAATATTTCTTCTGCCTTTTAAACCTACCTCACAGAGCCAAGAATTCTACAGGTCTTTAGGTTCCTCAACCACAAGATGCAGTGGCAAATAGGATAATTTCTAAGTTCTCTTTCGGCTTTATGATTCCAGGGGGAGAGAATCTACATTACTACTTAGCATGCGATTAGAAGCCTGAATACATACCAGTAAGGACACAGGAAAGAAAATTTCGGAAAATAAGCTGCTTGAAGACCACATAAAATTCATCAACATCTGCTCTTCTCTTCAGAATACTAAAACAGAGAAGCATTTTCTGTAGGGTGTGAGGGCACACACCTGTAATCTCAGCACTCAGGTGGCAGGGGCAGTGGGATCAATTCTAGGACAGCCAGGACTACAAACAAAACATTGTCTCAAATCAAAATAAACAAAACAAAGTATCTTTCTAATGCATTTTCTTTTCCGGGATAAGCAACTGACCTAAATAAACAATAAAACAAAAATAAAACCAAAGCATCTAGCTGGACGTGGAGGTGAACACCCTTACACCCTTAATCCCAGCACTAAGGAGGTAGAAGCAGGTAGATCTCTGAGTTCAAGGCCAGTTTGGTTTACATAGTGAGCTCCAGAGCAATCAGGGCTACACAGTGAGACCATGTCTTAAACAAACAAAAGAAAAACACCAAAGCGTCCATTTACAAAGGATAGAGCAGCAACGACTATAAAAATCTTTCAATGAGCAGGTTTTGGGGGGCTGGAGAGAAACCATATGATCTTGGCAGGAAAGACAATTTAAGAAATTTAACAATTTCTTTCTTGAAATACTATGTTGTGGGGCTCAAGAGATGGTTCGGCGGTTAAGAACACTGCTTGTTCTTGCAGAAGACCCAGGTTCGACTCCCAGCACCCATATGGCAGCTAACGACTGTCCGTAACTCCAGTCCCAGGGGATCCGACAGCCTCTTCTGAACTCCTCAGTCACTGCACGACACGGGTTCACTTACCTACATGCAGGCAATACATGCATACACATAAAATAAAAATAATAAAAGTTTTTAAAAGTTTTTTTTAAAAAAGAAATACTAAGTTGTATAATATACACCAAATTGTGTGTCAAATGAAAGGAACTGCTGTTTTATGTTTAATGATGGTTTTTCATTTTTATTTTTTGAGACAATGTCTCACTATGTAGCCCTGGCTGACCTAGAACTCACTATGCAAACCTTATAGGCTGGTCCAAAACTCTTAGCAATCCATCTGATTCTACTTCCTGAGTGCTGAGTTTAAAGGCATGAGCCACCACACCCAGCTTAGTGGTGGTTTTAAAATAAGAGCAGGCTAAAGATAACTGTGGATTTGAAATATTCAAATCAACAGTATTTAGCAAAACACTTTCAACTACTGGAATCTACCCACTTGTGGGGCTAGAGAGATGGCTCAGCAGTTAAGAGCACTGGCTGGTCTTGCAGAGGACCCAAGTTCAGTTCATAGCACCCACATGGCGGAAAACAATTGTCTGCAACTCCAGTTCCAGGGGATGCAACATCCTCTTTTGGCCTCAGTTGGCACTGCACTCACAGGTGTACTTGTATACATGCAGGCAAAACACTCATATACATAAAATAAAAATAAATTCAGTGAGCAGAATTTTCCTTCACAATTTTTGGTATTGTTCCCCCAGTTCTTCACTTTCAGAAAACTTATTCTGATAAAGTGAGAATTTGAGGTTAAACTTACATGAAACATAGAGAATTATGTTAAAAACTAGCACTTAAATATATTTGTACAGAAGAGTACTGGTACACTGAAAGATCAAATTGTAGTTTAGAAAGGGCAGTCATAAACCAGGTGTGGAAGTGCATGCCTTGTAATCCCAACACCTAGGCAGGCAAGGTAGAAGGATCATGAGCTCAAGCCTAGCCTTTGCTATACAGTGAGACCATAAATAATACACTCATACAAAGGCAGCAACTAAGATATATATATAATAGCTTTATACTCCAGGTTATTTTTTCCCAAATGTTATGGTTCAGCTTCCAAAGTCTCTTTGTTCCTGTTACAGTTCAACCTGTCTTTTCAAGACCAATCTTTATTTTTCCTTATAATAAGCCTCTTCTTCCTCTTTCTATTTTGCATCCCTCAATCTATCTTATAGCAAAGCATTTTCATTTTTTACTACACATCCTAGGTTTCCACTTGGATTGTTAGTTTCCTTCTCCGATTTTTCCAACCATTCTTGCCACTCCTCAACCCTCCTAGTTTTTAGTGTTTTGTTGTCTTTTTGAGACAGGTATAGCCCCAGCTGGCCTAGTACTCAGTACATAGACCAGGCTAGACTTGATCTCACAGAGATCCACCTGCCTCCACCTCCCAAGTGCTGGAATTGAAGGTGAGCACCACCATGCCCAGCAACTCAGTTTTAATGTACAAGATTCTCTTTTTGTTCTTGTGTGTGTGTGTGTGTGTGTGTGTGTGTGTGTGTGTGTATTCTTTTCATTCTTATGACCAACCTGCACAGTACTCCTTTTCCTATCTTCGTCTCATCATCAGATTTTGGACATACTTCCTCAGAACTGAAGATCTCTTTTGTAGTCCTTTCCCCAGAAATATCTACCAACTCATCTCTAGAATCCCAAATACAGCACACAACGCTTTCTCTTTACACTTAGTAATCCTCCAAATCTTGTCTGATACAAGTACCCCCTGAGACCCAATGCCTTCTCAGTTCTCTGTTTTCCAGCAACTATCTCCAAGACGTTTAACTCTTCATGCTTTCCTAGAACCTGGCCCAAGCCACTCTGGGACTGAAATCCCACAGTGTCTCTCTTTTTAACACACATGTCAAGAAGAGAGTGTAGCTCCATGGTATTTGTGTAGCATGAAGCCCAGGTTTCGTTCCCAACACCACAGAAAATAAACAAATATACGAATGAATTTTTTAAAATGCCACGGCATCCCTTTCCCCAGCAAACTGTTTCCCCCATTTTCTTGCAAGTGGCTCCTCACAACGCTTCACTAACGCTGGATCTTGGACTAGTGCATAAGCTTCTTTCAGTCCTACTTGCTTAGCAAAAAGTAAAGACCCCAAATCTTCTTTTAGCTTCCCAGATTTTACCTCTCCAGTGCTTCCGTTTAACAAATCCTATTTCTAGTTCATTCTCAGTCTTCAGACAAAAACTGTCAGGGCTCTGAACTCGGCTCTCTCCCACATCACACCCCACCTATGCCCCTAGCTTCTCATCACGTTCACTTTCACAGTCTCTCTACCGTTCCTTCCGCCGATTCTCCAAGCTTTCTTGGTTCCCCCTAAGAGACCTAATCTCTTTTACACACCCTTCCAACCCAACACTTACACTTCTGGGAACTTTCTCTAGAACCTTCTGCTCCTTAATTCTATTCCCTTCCCAAATGTGTTCTACACCCCTCACATTTTCTTACAGCCAGTTCTCCCAGTCTTCCTATTCCTGGCCAGCTTTCCCTTAGTCGGTCCCTATGTCCCCCAACTTTTCTCTCAGCCATTCCCTATTTCCCTCAACTCACCCAGGCAGATTTCCCCTGTCACTGTTTTACTCTCCTCTAAGCTTATCATTTCTGCAATCTGATCTTTCAGTACATCTTAAATTATACTCTCATCTTCCCCAATCTTTTCCTCATCAGTCTCTTTTCAACATTGCTATCCGTCCTCCAATTTCTATTGACTCACTGCCCTCCTTCGTCCCCGAATCCATCTTCGATTCCATCTAAACACCTCCAGGCCGACGCCAGCATTGCCTCCTATTTTCAGCCTCCCTTCCAGTGGCACTCAGAATGCCCCGGCACCATTCTCCAAAGGCCAGGGCCTGGCCTCCTGGGAGAGGGGTATGACTCACGTACCCCATTCGCATCTTGGCTCCGCTCTGACTGCCCCCGCTGCCGGGTAGAGGAGGGCGAGAGGGCAGGCGGCCGAGGTGCATGCTCTTCTCGAGGGCCGACATCAAGGGGAGGCCGTACGCCGTCAAAGAGTGGCCAAAGCTCCGTCCGTGCTCCGTCCGTGCAGTACGACCGGTCACGGTTACCTCCTCCACCGACGCCCAGTCGCCTTTGGACAGCACCCAGCAGCTACCGGCAGCACCGCCTACCGCCCCCTGGCTCAGCAAATCCCGCCCCCTTGCCTTCCGCGCTTCCACCGGAAGTGCGCCACAGCCTTCGCACAAAGGAAACTGGGTAACGGAGTTTGCCGACCCCTTCAGACTCCCATCCGAGAACTCCACAACCCTCGCCTGAAGCAGGAGTCCTCTAAAAGGCAGTGCGTGCTGGACAATGGAGTCCTCAAATGGCATATCCCTCTGCGCTTGCGCAGCTGCAGGCGCCCCGGCTGGACCTAGCAAAGGTAGTGTAGCAAAGCATCCTGGGTGTTGTAGTCCACTGGTGGAAAGGCGTCTTGGCGCCTTCCCTTGGCAGGGCTTTCTGGGAACTGTTGGAGGAAGAACGCCTCCTTCCTGCTTCCCAGGCTTCCCAGCGGCACCCGTTGCCGGGGAACGCAGGCGCCATGGGAAGGGATGGCGGGAGCATACTGGTTAGGTGCTGGCCCCTGGCCTGAGTTGGTGACGAAGAGCTCGAGCTCGTTATGAAACAGCGAAAAGGCCAAGGGCCTGGGGGCGGCCGTGGGCACAAGAAGACAGGTAACTATTTGTCAAAGTTGGAGGAAAGCGTAATTGCGAAGGAATTCTAAGGAGACCTCCACCTGCTCCGGTTAAGCAAGAAAAGAAAACAAAAAAGGACCAAATAGACAATAACCAGGAAACCAAAAGGTTAAAAGAGAGGGTTCTTCAAAGAGTGGAAACTAAATAGTGCCTGCAGAGTGATAACTAAGGCAGAGTGAGGGTTAAAAGGTGCGGATAAGTGAATTTAAAAAATAGAGGTTTGGGGTTTTATTTTTCCCGCTCCCTTGGGTTTTTTTTTTTTTTTTTTAAGCAAAGATAAATATATGCTTGATAGTCTGTTTTGGAGTAGGAGTTAAGGGGCGGAGAAGCTCCTGAAGAACTTGTTGATGACTGTGTAGCACCCAAGGGAAAACAAGCTAACCGGAAGAGTAAGGACTGTAGCTACGGTGAAAACAGTTACTGTAGGAACTCAGGGCAGATCATGAAACTGGAAATTAAGTTATGTGGCTGTCTCCAGCATGTCACATTGGGTGACCCTGACTTTTGACATAATTATTTAAGTGAGGACAGAACTATTGGGGCCAGTGGTAGTACAGTTAGGCCATTGCATTAGGAACTGAAGCTGCAGTCTAGGAAACAATCTTGTCCAAGCTGTCTAAAACTCACCAAGGCAGTTTTGAGGCAATGCCTTTCCTTGCAGGACAGATGAAAGATATATGGTTGTCCAGTACTGGTGTAATCCTTGTGTAAAACCACTCAAACATTAGTTGCTAAGAAGAAAGTCAAAACAGAAGTGTAATAGTATAAAATATCTTTGCTGTAGCAAGTGCATATACAGTACAATCATATATATGTATATACATATATGTGTGTACATATATATGTTGGTTATATGTATATGTATTTATGTATACATATATATGCTGGTTAGTTTTTGTCAACTTCACACAAACTGGAGACACCTGGAAAGACAAAAACCTCAATTGAGGAATTCCTCCATCAGACTGGCCTGTGTGCCTGTGTGTGGGGCATTTTCTTGATTGCTGGTTGATGTAGGAGGGCCCAGCCCATTGTGGACAGTGCCATCCTTGGACAGGTGGTCCTGGACTGTAAGAATCATAACTGAGTGAGCAAGGGAAGCATGACAGTAAGCATCATTCCTGCCTGTTCTTTGCTTTGGGTTCCTTCCCCTGCTGCTGCCTGCCTTTCTGCCCTGACTTACCTCAGTGATGAACTGTTACCTGGAAGTACAAGATGAAATAAACCCTTTCCCCTCATGTTGTTTTTTGGTCACAGCAACAGAAAGCAAACTAATATATGTGCGTATATGTGCATAGAGTTTTATATTTCAACTAATTATCCATGAGTTTTATAGGTGAATTTTTCCCCACTACTGTACAGGGTAGAAATTGTTATTTGCTTTAGTTGAACTATTTGTATAGAATCCTGAGAAGATTCCAGATTCCATTATATTTTCTTACGATGCATGACTACTACTCAGAGGAATAGAAGGATGTATATACCAATGGATTTATTTGCTTGTTGAGACAGGGTCTCTATGGACTCCAAGCTGGACTTGAACTTGAGATCCCTGTACCATAGCCTCTCAAATATATGATTTTTTTTAAAGTCTTCTCTAAGTCTTACAAAGAAAGTACAGACTGAAACAAAAATGAGAAATGTGATTGTTTCATTTACCTGATTTATCAGATCTCTGAAATCTCCCAAGATTCAAAGTCAATAAATGCTATGAATCCAGCACTAAAACATAGTGGCAAAATCTAAAGATTTCGTCTCTGTTCTTTTCGACTGCATGATCTTGGTAGGAAAGACAGTTGATGGTAGTCTTTGTTGAGATACTGAGCTGTGTAATATATACACTAAATGGCATGTCAAGTGAGAGGAGTTGCTGTTTTATGTTTGGTGATGTTTTTTATTTCTTGAAACTGTGTCTCACTATGTAACCCTGGCTTACCCAGAACTCACTGTGTACACCTTACTATGTAGGCTGTTCTTAAACTCTTAGCAATCCACCTGACTCTTATCACCTGAGTGCTAGGATTAAAAGCATGGGCTACTATGCCCAGCTTAGTGGTAGTTTTAAAATAAGAGCAAGTTCAAGATAACTGTGGATTTGAAATAGTCAAATTAACAATATTTAGCAAAAAACTTCCAACTACCGAGATTTTATATAAATCTGCCCACTTGTGGTGCTGGAAAGATGGCTCAGCAGTTAAGAGCACTGGCTGCTCTTGCAGAGGACCTGGGTTAGGTTCCTAACACCTGCATGGCAGCCAACAACTGCCTGTAACTCCAGTTCCAGGGGCTTTGATTGCCCTTTTCTGGCCTCTAGGGATATTACATGCACAGGTGCACTTATATACATGCAGGTGAAACATTCATACACATAAAATAAAAATGAATTTTTAAAAAATTTTAAATGTACCCATATGTATAATTACATCTGTGTTTTCCAATAGTATGTTTGTTTGTTTGTTTGTTTTATTGAGACAGGGTCTCCCTATAGCCCCAGCTGACCTGGAACTCGCTATGTAAACCAGGCTGACCTCAGACTCACAAAGATCCACCTGCCTCTGCCTCCCAAGTGCTGGGATTAAAGGCGCGTGCCATCATGCCTGGCTATAGTCCCCCCCCCCTTTTTTTTTGGTCTTTTTAAGATGGTTTCCCTGGCCTGGAACTCACTATGTAGACCAGGCTGGCCTTGAACTCACAGAGATCCACCTGCCTCTGCTTCCCAAGTTCTGGGACTAAAGGTGTGCGCCACCATGCCCAGCTATAGTCCCTTTTTTAAAATAAATATTTTATTTTTCATGAATATGAGTGTATACCCTGCATGTATGTAAGTGCACCTGTGTCATGCAGTGCCCACAGAGGTCAGAAGAGGTTGTTGGATCCCCTGCAACTGGAGTTTAGGACAGTTGTTAGCCACCATGTAGGTGCTGGGAACTGAACCCAGGTCTTCTGCAAGAGCTCTTAACCACTGAGCCATCTCTCCAGCCCCCCAAATAGTATCTTTCAATTAAAGAAAAGTTTATATTTGGTCTGTTCCTTACTTAGAATAACCTGAATCCAACCTAAATATTCATTAATTATGAGACTTACATAAATGACCAGGTAGTTTATTCTCTAACCTGTTTTGCTAGTTACTTCTCATGTAGTAGAACAGGTAGGAAGGTAGGATTAGCCTTTTCTGTGTAGAGACTAAAGTGTTTTATTTTTCATTTAAAAAGAAAATTATGGTCTCAATTTTAATTTAGTATTGTAATATTCCCTCATAGGTTTGAGTGACATTTCACCATCTACAAGCCTACCACCTCTGGTAGAAGGCCAGCTACGCTGCTTTCTCAAACTTACCATTAATAAAGTCGTATGGAAGATTGCAAAGCCTTCCACTTCTGTGCTTGTCCGAGTGAGGTGGTGGGGAGAAACATCAGATGGAACCCTCTTTTATCCCAGGGATGCACTGCAGACTGAACCAAAAGCTGTGAGAACAACTACCCGGTATGCCATTCGTTGCGGTCCAAAGCAGTTTACCTCTTACCTAACAGGTATGTTTTTGTTTTATGGTTTTAAGTACAGACCTGATATGAAACATGCTTATGTGATCAGCATTTGGTAGTATTGTGTACCTAGGATCTGTGGACATTATTGAAGCATTAAAAAGGCTTTGTAGGAGTCATCATTTATTGAGCGTATACTGTGTATGTGCTAGCAGTTGACCCATTTTAGTCCTTATAATAACCCTTAAGGTAGGATTTTTATATTTTTGAGACTTACTTAAATCGATAATGAAATTTAGATGAAATAAATCCTTGTAGACATGTCCAGCCTTCTGAAATTGTAACACAGTATTGTTTTCTACAAAGTTCATGCTTAAGAACCATGCAGTGGAGTCATAAAACAAGAACTGTATGCTGTCCCCCTCCCCAATCTCTTTGTTTGAAAAAAATTTATAGGCTGGAGAGATGACTCAGCAGTTCAGAGCACTGACTGCTCTTGGAGAGGACCTAGGTTTAGTTCCCAGCAGCCATGTGGCAACTAATATCCAAACTCTTTATTTCCTGGGGATCTGATGCCCTCTTCTGACCTCCATGGGCATTGCATGACAAAGGTTCATTTACATATATGCAGACAATATGCTCATACACCTAGAATATAAATAATGAATAAATAAAATATATATTTTTTTAATTTACAGTTTTGGCTAGGCTACATTCATAGCTACCCTGGGGTACATGAAGCTGCATGCAGCCTGCAGGCTGGAGATTGGACACATCTGCTGAGGTCACATCATTGATAAATGATGCAGCTAGGGTCTGATACCAAAACCCATGCCCCTTAATCCCAGCAACTTTGAAGCCTCAGGAAGAATTGCTTAAGCCCAGGAATTCAAGGCCTGTCTGGATAATGTGGAGATACTCTATCTCAACAAACAACAACAGAAAGAAAGAAAACAACTCATGGTCTTCACTGTACCTTTTTTTTTTTTAATTTATTTTTATTTTAGGTGTATGAGTGTTTTGTCTGAATATATGTAAGTGCACCATCTGTGTACAGTGCCCACAGAGGCCAGAAGAGGGCACCAGATGCCCTGAAGCTGGAGTTAACAGAGGGTTGTTAGCCACCATATGGGTACTTAGAACCAAACCTGGGCCTTCTGCTAGACTATAGTCTCCACTCTGGGGTTTACATTTTGTTTGAAAAAGAGAATATAGACATAAAATCTTACTAATAGTGCAAGGTAGTATGTACTAAATGCCAGGTGAGTATTTTAGTGAATTAGTATGATAGGTTTTCAGAAAAGGAAAGCATCCCTCTCTAGGGGGTCAGAAGGCACCGTGTTTTTGTTTTTTTCAAGGAAAGTTTTCTAAATGTACTGTGTTGTTTATGAAATAAATCCTGTTCTAGTCAATGAAAATTGATCAGCCATCATGTAAAAATTGTTTAGCAATGACTATTTGGAAGGTCAAAGTGAATCCAAGAGAAAGGTTTTTTTTCAAGACAAGCTCTCTCAGGTTTTTTTTTTTTAAGACAAGATCTCTCATTAGATAGAAATCAAAATGGTATTTATTTGTAACTATACAAATAGGTTTGGTTACAGTGGCAGACTTGTTAAAGGAAACTCACAGAACTCTTAGAACTTGAACCTGAAACTGAAGTTCTCAAGTGATATTTTTATATAATTTAACAAATGGAGGAGGGCTAGAAGGTCAGTAAGAGAAAAGGTATCTTTTAATAATCAACAGGTCATATATTTATTTGTGCATCCCGTGAGATAATCATACTTTCTCTGAACATTTAAATTGGTCTTATGAACTACAGGATTTTGGGAAACTGCCTTCACATTCCTGACCCTGTTTATTCATCTATAAAATGAGATCAAATAGCTGCCCTTTGGCCTGACTGTCTTACTGTTTTCATAAAGAAGCAACATGGTTGAGTTGAAAGAATACAGGCTTTGAAGTCTAGACAGTCAAGTTTGAACTCTGGGTTCAGAACTGATTTCTGTGTGATACTAGCAGTTTCTTAGCATCTTTGAGCCTCAGTTTCCTGTTCTGGGAGAAATAGTATAGTGTCACTAATATATCTGCTATGCTGTACTACCTCAAAAGATAGACAGCTCAGGACTAGAGAGATGACTCAGCAGTTAAGAGCTAACAACTGTAATTCCAGTTCCAAAGGATCTGATGTCCTCTTCTAGCCTCCATGAGCATTTCACACACATGGTGCACTTACCTCCATGCAGGCAAAACACTCATACACATAAAATTTAAAAAATAATAATTAAAAAAAATAGAGGGCTCAGTACACCTTATATTTTCTTTTTATATGTTTTCTCTGGCCATGAAAGTAGAACAAGGAAAGATTAGAGTAAACTGACAGTGTGATCCTTCAGTGATCCTCACCATTTAATCTTGGCTTTGTTTTATCAGATAGGATTCAGTTGGAAAATGAGTGACAATGGGAATAGGAATAAAGCTGGAGAGTACCACGGTAAAATTCCAAGTCAAAAATGAAGGGTAGCCAAGACAGTGGTCCATGCCTTTAATCCCAGCACTAGGGAGGCAGAGAGATTGAGGCCAGCCAGGTCTACATGGTGAGTTCCAGGCCACCTGAGGCTATAGGGAGACTATCTCAAAAAACAAAATAAAAACCCCCAGAAACAAAGGTTAAAAAAATCAGAAATCTAATATGAATTTAAGCATTTTTATCTCTTTTAAGCAGTATATTGTAAAGCCACATGGTTTATAGTAAGGTGTAGAACTGGATAGAAGTTTTACCTCATTGTGGTGACTTTAAAGCTTTTTGAACTTCAGAATGTTACGTGAATTGTCTGATCTTGTTTTATCCCCAACCTATAGTCAGAAACACCTATATCATAGACTTGTAAAGAGAAGGCCAGTGAGATGGCTCAGTGGGTAAAGATACATGCCCCCAAGCCTGAATACCTGAGTTTGATCCCCTGGATCCACATGGTAGGAGGAGAGAACCAACTCCTGCAAGTTGTCCTGTGACCTCCACATGCATGCATTGGTACACATATGTGTACATATGCACAAAAATGAATAAATAATGTACTTTTTTTTATAAAAGAGAATAGTGAGGCATGGAAGAACCTAGCTGTTAGTAACTAGCCAACAAGTGCTGGTCTGTTTCTGTTATTCCACATGAGTATACATCATTTACACCTTAAAGGGCACTTTTGCGTCAGTTAGTTCACATAATTTTTAGATAACCACCAAGAACGGGACATTCAGGAACTACTGTGTGGGAAGACACTGTCCTGTGTGATCTATATGCAGTATCCTCAGTTCCCCCACACAGATGTTAAGATGCCTGTTTTATAGATGGTTGTGAGTTAGACAGAAACAGCCCATGAATATTAGAGCCAAGACAAACCCTCAGATCTCATTGTACATCCTACATACTTCTCATTTAAGTATTGAACGCATAATAATAATGAACCATTTTCTCAACTTTGATTAAAAAATACTCAGAATTTGCAGGGTCTTGAGATCATCTTAGATCCCATTGACATAGCCTCTTCTCTTCCTGTGAATTATGCACATGAAGGAATTAGGGGTACGTTTCAGAGTAAAGTTCAAGTGTTCATTCCATTCATCTTCTTAGTTCTAAGTGTTTTCAGTACCTCCGTGTTTTCAGTAGCTCCAGATAGAGCTCAGAACCAAGCAGTTGGACACCCGTAGGAGGGAAAGAGCAAGCCTTGTAGCCGTGCAAGAGCAGCTCATTCTACCTCAAATCTAGAAATTGTAAGAGTGGAAGAACTAGATTTGTTGCTTTTGAATTTTAGAGCCAAAACCCAAGTTCTCCGCAAATACATTTGCCAGAACTCTTAAAGGTACTTTTCCCTCCATCCCTCCCTCCCTCCCTCTCTCTCTCCTTCCTAGTGTCTGTGTGTATAGGCCAGAGGACAACCTCAAATGTAGTTCCTCAGGTGCTGTCAACTTTATTTTTCTGAGACAGGGTTTCTTACTGATGTGGAGCTTGCCAAGTAAGCTAGACTGACTGGTCAGTGGACTCAGGGATCCACTTCCTCAGTGCTGGAATTACATGCTCACACCGTCATGCCTGACATTTTTACATGGACTGAGGATTGAACTCAGATCCTTGAACTTGCAAGAAAAGCACTTTACCTACTGAATCATCTGCTCCCAGCCCCAAATACTTGATAAGCTAAATATTCGGTGTAATTTTTTGCCCTTAATTATAAGGTACCTGTCTGTCATTCTTCTCTAAAACCTTATTATTCTTTGGCTCACTCCCCCTCCTTCTTATGGTATGGTAAGTGATTTATTTGGAATTTAAATGAGTTTTTCATTATATACTCTTCTGCTTTCAAAAACTGAAATAGTGAACAGTATCCGACTGTGTTATCATTGTTTCTGGTTAGATATGTCTGTGCTGGTGTTGGAAGTAATCACCAAACTTGATCATCTTCCAGTTGGTAGAGTTCTGATCAATGGACTCGCTCAGCTTTCTCCAACCCATCAAATCAATGGATTTTTTACCATTGTTTCACCAACATCTAAGAAGCTTGGAGAACTTCAGGTAAAAATGTTCTAATTCTTTGATGCTGTAGTATTTTTCTTATTTCTGTTACCAAATACTTAATAAGAAACACCTTTAGGAAGGAAGAGTTTCCTTTGGCTCATGATTTGAGGGCACAGTCCATGGTGGGAAAGGCATGGCAGCAGGAGCATGAGGCTGCTTGCTCACATCTGGACAGATCAGGAAGCAGAGCTAGTACAGGAACCTATTAGCCTGTATGCATTACCAGCCACTCTCCCATGAGTCCCACCCCCAACCCCTGATGTCATTAATCTACTTTCTGTCCTTATATATTTGCCTGTTCTTGACATTTCAAATTAACAGAATAATATGTGATCTTTTAAAAGTGTCATCTTTCACTTAGCATAAAGTTTTAGCATTTATCCGTATTTAGCCTGCCTTTTTTTTTTTTTTTTTTTTTGTGGGTGAAACATTCAATTGTGTGGATAGACTTCATTTTTGCTTATCTGTTTTTCAGTTCACTGGCATTTGGGTATACTAATATAAATATTACTGCTATGAACATTCATGGCTAAGTTCTTTTGTGAACATAACATTTTCAGTTCCCTTGGGCATAGAGTAGGAGTAGAATTCCTAGGTGATATGGCAATTCTGTTTAACTTTTGGAGGAACTGTTCATGTTTTACAAAGTGGCTCTACTATTTTCTTTATCATATTTAAATTTAACTTATATGATAAGATTTGCATTTTAAAATTTAAAGTCATTGAATTTTGTTAATTTGTTTTTAATAGATGGTTGTGACAGAAGCAGAAATCAAATTCTGAGCATTTAAGAAGTTTGGAAATAAGTAACTGGGGCTACAAGGAGACCCTGTCTCAGAAAGACCTAAAAAAAAAAAAAAAGTTTGGAAAGAAGTATGAGAAGTATCAGTTACAGTGAAGTAGAAGTCTGCACCCACACACGTGAATGCAGGCAGGCACACACAGAGATTCTCGAAAATGTCATTATGAAAGCCATCACTTTGTACAATGAATATATACTAACTTAAAAAGAAATATTCCACTTTCCTCTTGCCTCTGCTATAAAGCAAACTACAGAACCCACAGATATTAAAGGGATGCTACAAATAATTCTGCATATAGAAATTTAACAGCTTAAATGAAATGGGCCAATTCTTCTAAAACCATGAACTACCAAAACTCCCTGAAGAAGTAGATAACCTAAATAGACCTCAGTTTGTAAAAATTGAACTTGTAGTTTCAGACCTGCCAAAAAAGAAATCGCTATACCCAGATCTCTTCATTAAAAACTTTAATAGCCCCAGATGTAATGATAGAGAGCATTTATCACTGCCTCAGATTGAGATGTGCTAGGAACTTTGCAACTGGAATACATACCCTGGCCACGCTGTTGGTCTGCTCCAACTAATATTTACCACATGAAAATCATGAGAATGGCAACTCAGCATTGCTACTAGATATTCTGATTTTTCAAGAGAAGCCAGAGATACAAATTTTTATAAATGCAATTTTAAGATATTGGTAAATAACTTTTAAAATTCTGTGTTGAGCAGCATCATTCTGAAAATCAGACAGTAGATGTCACCGATATAAGTAGGAAATTGTTGGCAGCTTGGTACCAAAGAGACCCTGAGTCATTATTCAGAGGCAGATGAACATCCTTAGCACTGATCTGTTATGGATGGGGGAAGCATGTGGTATATTTATGGTATATGTGGATGGTGTGGGCTTCAAAAGAGAATGATATATTTAAATGATAGGGTGATGGTCTGGAGATAGTTTTCTTATCCTGACAAGTGAAAATTGTTTCCATTGGAGAAGACTTTGGGGAAATGTGGACATTTTAAGAAAGAAATGTCCAGTTTAAAAAGTAAAATAGTTTGTATAACAAAATCTGGTTGGGAATGTAGCATGTACTTAGCATGTATGAGGACCCAGATTCAGTCCTCAGCTAGAGAAAAACAGGCAAACAGACAGAGACAGACACTGACTCATTAATGACACTGGCAGAGAAGTGAGCACAGTAAGAGCCATAATTCGGGAGGGGCATGACTGACGTATACAGGAATAAAAGGAGGTGAATACAAGACTAAATTAGGCACATGGTGAGGAACAGAAGGCTTAGAAGGAGAGGCCTAAAGGTTAAGGATTGATGGGATAATACTATTCTATGCCTCCAAAGTTAGATGGTCTTCCCTTTACCTGTAAGATTTTACCTCAACTCCACTCAGCTTCATCTGGCTTATTCATACTTAGGACTCTCAACTTAGACATCTGTGTTCCACTCAAAGAAGCATTCCCTGCACTCCTTCCTCACCTCTTCCTCAAGCTCAACTCTTTCCCTATGTTCCCATGTCACCTGGTACACATTCTTATCTGAGTATTGTTATCTGAGTAGTGACCATTTCATATTTAGATTATTTAAGTTCGCCTATAACATACCATGAACCCTAGGACAGAGTCCATGTTTTCAGCACCTCTGCCTCAGGCCCAGAGCTGGGGTCAGTAGATGTTAACAGAGGAGTTAGGCCGGCCCTGAGGTTGATTCTAAAATGACTATAGAAAATTCATGGATTTTTCTGAGCACCTCTTCATTATTCAATAGCATGATAGGCTTATGCGTTGTTATTCAGATCTGTTTAGGGCAAAAATAAAATTCACTGGCCAGTCAACAGATCAGTATTAAGGGCAGGGACACCACCATTGTTCCAGTGCCTTCTGTGCTTCTAGAATACAGTAGTGGTCTTTGGCAAGTGAAGTGTTAAGGGAATATCCTGACATTCATATTAGGCAACCAGGATTGTAGGTGACACCATTACAGTGATTAGTGCACACTTACCTCAACCATCAAAAACTTGGTTTTGCATCTTAGCATTTTATCTTTTATGAAGGTAGGGACTTTTTTGTCTCAAGCAACAAATAAAAACGCAAGCAAAAGATGTTATGTCCTTTTATTCTTCCAAACTTGAGTCATGTTAGACTTACTATGCCTACTATACTAATTAGTCTATAGAAAACTCAATACTATGTTTCACACCTTTAAGAAATTCATAATTTATCAGTAACAAATAAAACATAAATACCCTTGGTTGTTTCGGAGGTAGCGTCTTACTAGGTAGCCTAGACTGATGTGGAAGTTAGAATCCTCCTGCCTTACTTTGAAGTGCTGGGATTACAGGTGTGTGCCACCACACCTGGCCTTTGCTTTTTTTCCTTTTTCCTCAATCTTCGAGTTATAATAATATTGCTTTTTGCCTGAATATTGCCTAATATTGCGTACACCGGTGGTAGGGTTGTGTCCTCACTGAAGCATCTCTGAATGAGGAGCAGAGCACACTCCTGCCTAGAATAAGGCAGTCAGTAAGTAGTGGTTATATTGGTGGATAGACAAAGTAGAAACATGAAGGCAGCAAACATGCATCGTTACCTAGACATAAAGAATTGGTGCTACATGGAGCTGGAGAGATAGCTCAGTGGTTAAGAGCATTGGCTGCTCTTGCAGAGGACTCACGTTCAGTTCCCAGCACCCATATGGTGGCTAACAACCATCTGTAACTCCAAGCCTAGGGGATTTGATGCTCTCTTCTGGCCTTTTTGGACATTACATGCACAGGTGCACTTAACATACATGCTGGCAAAACACTCATACCCATAAAAAATCAAATTAAAATTACTGTTACTGAAGTAAACTGGGCAAACAAAGGCATAAAGCAATGAAATATAAGACACACAGAGGACAGAGCTGGAGAGATGACTTGGCAGTTAAGAGCACTAACTGCTCTTGCAGAGGACCTGGGTTCAATTCCTAGCACCTATAACTACCCATAATTCTAGTTCCAGGGGATCCAATGCCCTCCTCTGACCTCCACAGGCATTGCATGACATGAGTATACTTAACACACATGTAGGCAATACATTCATGCACAAATATAAAAGAATAATAATTTTTTTAAAATATTCTGCAGCTGGGCATGGTGGCACAGGCCTTAGAGGCAGGCAGATAACTGAGTTCAAGGCCAGCCTGGTCTACATAGCAAGTTCCAGGCCAGCTGGGGCTACAGGGAGACACTGTCTCAAAAAAGACCAAAAAAAAAAAAAATTAATTAATGGAGGCTAAAGAAATTTTGTTCTATTCCATGTGTCTTTCAGGTCTCACTTGCCTTGGAGCCTCTGTCAGAAACTTATGACAGCTACAATCCTCTTCCTACCACCGACGTGACAGAAAATATGCTTTTATCTGAGCAAGGATTGAGAGAGAACACTGAATCCAGCAATACCCAGTTTCTGATTGCATCGAAGTCTTTTGGAGAACCTACTGCCAAAACTGATATCAAAGAATTAGCAGCCAACAGCAACAGCTCAACAACACCAAGGTAGTAACCACATCTGCAAGTCTCTGTGTTTGCTAACTCTCATTGTTCTCAAGATTTTTGTCTTTCATTTTGGATGATTGGAAAACTAAACACAGAGAAATGCAGTCACTCATTCAGCGGATAACTGTTAAGCGCCCACTGGCTCCTGGTTGGATACCAGGTGCTAGGCACAGAAATAAGAAACAATTCCTGTGGCTAAAGATGTATCTCAGTGGTAAAATGCATGCTTAGCATGCACAAAACCAAAACCAGCCAACAACAGTAGCAAAGCCCCACAATTCTTGTTTCCAAGGACTACTCACAATCTAGGAGAGAATCTCTCTCTCTCTCTCTCTCTCTCTCTCTCTCTCTCTCTCTCACCCACCTCACACACACACACACACACACACACACACACACACAACTGAAAAATTTACAAGCACATGTCCCTGGGGAGAAAGGATGAGTAGGTATTATTTTTTTGAAATAGAATGGACTAAGAAAAGCATAATTTTGTCTTAATTATCAGGCATTTGCTTTGTATAGGGTTCTCTGCCAACACACACTCTTTGTGGATGTCCTGATTTATTTCAATTAAGGTACAACCCATAATTGTAGTAAAGATCTGTTATTTCTTTAACTTAGGAGATTAAAAGTAAACTTACAAAGTTGCATTGTAAATAGGCTACCTCTTTCAAAGTCCAAATTACGTTGCCTTCGCCAGTCTTCCTAGCTCTGACAAAGTGGGATATTGCCATGATGGGGTTTATAAGCTGCTGACATTGTTTTTTTTAAATGGGAAAGGATCACTTGTACTTTTCAGAGAATTCAGATACAGTAAAGGATTCTTTCCTTAGGCTACAACATCATCTTAATTCAGGACAAAGTTTGGAGTCTGTGTCTCTGAAAAGCAAAGCGCCACAGAAGCAGATGTCCCTTCTCGACAGTTCCAAATTTGAGCCTCAAATTAGGACAGTAGCCAAGAGTCACAGTGACTCATGCATTCCTTCTTCAAACAACCCCCCTACAAAGGACCTTCTTTCAGGTATGTGTGTATCTGTGACCTGAGACTAAGCTATCTTTATTAGGATTGCTCTGTTAGCCAGCCTACAAAGGAAACCAAGACTTCTCTTTGAACTAAACAGCCAAATAAAAATGAGAAGACTTGCTATAGTCCAGATCCTTCATTTAAAGGCAGCTCTACTAACCTACCAAGTAACTACTTTTTAAAAAATTCTTTTAATTAACACATAGTAGTGGTATGTATTTATCCACAATCTGGTATATAATGTCACAGTGTGACATTCAGTGCATGTATACAGTGGATAGTGATCAGTTAGGTGACAGCATCTATACCTCAGACATTAATCATTGGTGTTAGGAACGTTTAAAATGTCCTTTATGTAGTCTGTGAAATGGCTCAGCAGGTGACAGCACCTGCTGCTAAGCCTGCCCATTAGAAGGTGCTCCTTTTTTTCAACTGTGCCTCTGTACGCACTAGCTATTCCCTCTATCCTCCCACACATGCTTCCCAGGTTTTGGTAAGCTCTATCATATTTGTGGCTTTGGGATCAATTTTTAAGTTTCCACAAATAAATGAAAGGATAGGATATTTGTCTTTCTGTCTAACGTTGGTACCTGACTTTATGCCCCTAAATAGAATGTCTCTAGTTCCACTTATGCTCACCGAATAAATAGCAAATTAAATTCTTATAATTGCAAGTTTGGGAAAGGAACCATTTAAAAGGAACCTGGACATGAGGGTAAATCTTTTATTACAGAAATATATTAATCCTTACCTGTCTCCAAATAATTTAAGCAGATAGGATGGTACAAAATTCATTTCACATTCTAAAAGCTGTTATTCTTCATGGGAACATTCAGTGCTGCAAGGGACCTTAGCTTCTTATCTTCAGCTGGAAATTAAATTGTATTGTAGCCAAACAGAAGTAGAAGGGAGAGAGTTTGTATATTAATGACTTTTCTTGTTGCTGTGATCAAAATACCTGACAAGAAGCAACTTGAGGAAGGAAAGTATACTTTGGCATACAGTTTAGGAAGGGATAGCATCCATCATGGCAGGGAAGGCATGGCTGTAAGAGTCTGACGCACCTGGTCACTTTGGGTCCGAAGTCAGGAAGCAGAGAGGACAGGAAGTAGAGCCAAGGCTGTACAATGTAAAGGCCTGCCCCTAGTGATGCACTTTGTCCAGCAAGGCTCCAGCTCTAGTTCTACAGCCTTCCAAAACAGTGCTACCAGCTGGTGACCAAGTATTCAAACATATGAGGAAGCTTAGGGGAGACATTTCACATTCAAACCACAAAACAAAAGCAAATGGAAGCAGCATTCTGTTACCTCAGGTTTGGGAATGATAGAATAAAGGCAGTTAACTTGCACATTCTGTAATAGTCAACCATATTATTCCTGTGACATCAAAACCATGACAGGAATTTATGTACACCCTTCCAATAAAACTTCCAAAATAGACTTTCTAGACCAGTCATAGAAATACCTTGCTAATAACTACTTGGGTACATAATTTACATTATTAAGGACATTTGGTTTTATTGTTTTTTACAAAGTTGGGGAATCAAATCCAGGACTTTCTCTATATATTGTACTACTGAGCAATATCCCCAACTGAATATTTTTTTTGTTCTGTTATTTAATTTTTAATAACTACATGATTAGAAGAAGCATTTCATTACAGCTACATGCATTGTTTTTAAATCTAGTATAGGGTAAAAGGAACAAAAATGTGATTAAACAGAGGTGTAGCTTTGGCTCAGTTGATGGAGTGTTTGCTCAGAATGTACAAAGCCCTGGTTGGATCACAAGGACTGCATAAACCAGGCATATGGGTGCAAGCCTGTAATCCCAACACTTAGGAAAATGGAGGCAGGAGGATCAAAAGTTCAAGATCATCTTCAGCTACCCAGCCAGAGCAAGTGCGAATGAAGAAAGAGAAAAACGTGACTGATAATGGAAAGCAGAAAAGAAGAGATAAAAGAATGTCGCCTTGGGTTTTGTTTCTTAATCCATTTACCTAGTCTGTGTCTTTTGACTGGGGAGTTCAGTCTGTTAATATTTAAAATTATTAATGAAAGATGAGTATTGAATGAAAGATGACTATTGAAAGTTATTAATGAAAGATGAGTATTGAATCCTGTCATTTTTATTTCTGTTTACATTCTTGATATAGCTCTATTTTTCCAGTTTTACCTTCATTGAATTTCTTCCCGCAACCCCTTGGGTATACTCATTCCTTTCTTCAGCACTTTGTATTGCTTCCAGAACACTCTGAAGGGCCGGTTTCGTGGACATGAATTCCTTCAGCCTATTTATGTCATGGAAGATTTTTCTTTCCCCTTCAACTATAATAGACATTTTGGCTGGGTATAGTAATCTGGGTTGGCATCTGTGGTCATTTAAAACTGGGAATGCTTTGGTCCAGGCTCTTCTGGCTTTCATAGTTTGCACTGAAAAGTCAGCTGTAATCCTAATGGGTTTTCCTTTATATGTGACTTCTTGTTTCTCTTTTGCAGCTTTCACTATTGTCTCTTTGTTTTATATGTTTAGTGTTTTTACTATGATGTGCCGTGGAAAGTTTTCTGGTCCTCTCTGGTGTTCTATATGCTTCTTGTATTTGTGTGGGCATGTCTTTCCACGATTCTGTTGAAGATCTGGTCCATGCCATTATTTTGGGATTCTTC